ATGTAAATTTTGGAGAGGGTAATATGGTGATGTCAACATAAGTATAAGATTCAAAACTTGAATAATTACAACAAGTGGTGAAAAAAGGGCTTTATTTCATTTTCATCATCAGAGATTCTATATGTGAATTACAATAACTGTTCCTACTTGTGAAATGTTTCCTATACCTTCTATATAAAATGCAAAAGACTTATGTAACTTCTTACAACATTCACTTATATTACGCAGAGCCACACCACACATACAACAATTAAACAAATCTCTGTAGACTCACATACAAACACAAGTACTACTGATCACATACAAAAATAGAACTAAATAAAAAATCTGATACAATCATCTCCATGTACACTTTAAAAAAAGAAAATTATCTTTATGCCAAAAGAAACACATCTATTATCAGAAATTATTAAAACTGCCTTAAATAAAAAAAACCCCAAAGACTGCCTGTGGAGAATAACACAAATTGTACACCAGTAGTACTCGCATGAGACGCACAACTCGCTTACACTAGTTTGTGTCAGGATCAACCATTACATGCCATTCTGAGTGATCTCATAATAAGGCTCCTTTACATAGTTGCAAAAAACATGAAAAATTACCCTTCTTCAAGTACCACCCAAGGCTTCTAATGGTTTATCACCTCACAGTATCTTACTAATCTATAATGGTAGGTTACTCCAGAAACAAAACTATGAAGAGCAATTCTTAATTGAAGGATAAAATTTGTGTTAAGGCATTAACAACTTTCAAAGAATAATTCATAGGACATCATCCAAATGTCTGCTAAATGAAAATTTATTCAGAAATTGTCTTTGTCTTACAGCCTTATTTGTGGAGTCACCCATGGGTCCCCAGGCTGGCGGAAGGCACCTATATTCGAGACTCCTGAAGCTCAGGACAGTGAACTTATGCACATGCAGCCTTACTCGAGGAACCATCTTAGCAATGGAAGGCCCAGTAATTTCAGTATTGAACTTCATTTTCTGTTGTTTTTTATTACTAAACATCAGCAATGCTATCAGTATGACTGATATATCTTGCAATACCTCTCTGTGTCCACTCAGATGTACAACCAATCCAATGCCACATTATAATGAGCCAAATTCTAGACTATGGGAACCTATTGGCAGGACTGTAGGTATCCACAAATTCTTTAACATGCCAGAGAGGGAATGATACTTCATAAAATTCTCCTCATCCATACCACAAAAAAACAAAACCAGCTGCTAATTCAATTCTTCCTGGCAGTCTAAAAGAAATGGTAGATTACCGTAGGCCTGACTCCATTTGTCCAACACAAAAGCCCACAGCAAACAACTTGGAATCTGAAACTTACTGTCATACCATGCCAAGGACTTATTGTAACTCTTGCACATAACATTCCTAGACATGTTTATCTCACAAGTCTTGTTTACAATGGTGAGAATCCTTATGGATAATTAGCATTTAGTACTAAAAACATTTTGAAATATAAAATGTAATTTAATTATCTGAAGGCTAGGATTGCTATAGGACCAAAAATCACTCTAAATCAGATAGAATAGTCACCAAATATGGCAAATTAAAATTAAAACACAATTTATTGGGGTTCCTGTGGTATTCTTGCCTGGTGGTGAGTTTTGAATTTATCCAAAGAATTTATCATACTACAACAAAAGAATAACTGTGTTTCAATATAATGCTAAATCCTGAATGTTCATCAATAACAATATGAACACTAAGTACTTTACACATTATCCTCGTCTTTAAATCAAACTGCTCCGCTGCTACGTTTTTATAGATCCTCCTAGACCATATTCTTAACAAAAAATAAATCTGATGTGAATTAACACATCACAAACATATAATTTTAAAGTTTCCAATTTAAATTTCAAAATTAAGTTTTACTCTGGTTTAAGAAAAAAACAAAAAAGAAAAAAATGGGGCAGACATAAAAAATATTAACTATTTTCAACACAAAGACATAAACAAGAAGCAGCATCAAATGATTGCTAATAAATAAAATGTTTTGTTTGTTTGATAACAGAACTAGTCAAACTCTACCACCATCCAAAAATATGGCCCATTTGTGTACCTGAATATGGCTTTACTCATATGCTCTAAAACAAAATACAAGCCATACTGGTATGCCACAAACAACTGAAATTCTTTGTCAGCACAAATACCCTGGTCAACCAAGGACAGGAAATGTTATCATTAGCATAAACTAATAACCATAACCTTATATGTAATGTTTCTTGTAACATGCAAACAAGAATTTTTTTTATATATATATTTTTTCTTTTTTGGAAGGGCAGTTAGTTTCAATCATATATATATATTCTTTTCTTTTCTCTCTCTTAACAATTTCATGCCAGGAAGAATAGCATCATTAAATACAATTATCTTAACTTGAGGTTTAACACAGACTTTGATCATGTCCTACTTAGAGTAATGAGGAGGTTAACAATATTGTTTGCCTGAGACAGGGTATATCTGGCCACAAATGCAGAGGGACATATTTCCTTTTTTCTCTCATCAATTTATTGTATGTCATAAGTACAAAGCTTTTTTTATTTAATGGCTGAAAAAATTAAACATATTCTGGCAGATTAATGTACTCCTTCTTACTGATAATGAGTGTGTGACACTTTCAATGACATGATGGGCTGGCACCCTCCTGAATTCATCAGATGTGTACTCAGTTGGCAGTGGAAACATTGTTGAGTGCATTTGTGACTAGATTAATTTTTAATGATACCTTTTGTAAATCTTTGTTTTTAGGATAGGGCCCTCTAGCAGTCCATTTATAATTGATAAGATTCTACATAATTCTCTCATACTTCATCCAAACACTAATGGCAGAAGCAAGGACCAGCTTCTGTAATTTCACAGCAAAAGATCACTGTAACTCCCAGTCATGGAAAAAGTATTCCTCATGACATATCCATTCTTATGGCACACCAAGGATATTTCTGACAAGACTCTAAAATTACTGCATGGGTCTGTCTGCTATGCCTAGTGTTTGGAGTGGCACCCTCACATACGCAGCACAAGTGCACACATCAACAAATTACCATGATCTGCCATTGTTATATAAAAAAGAAAAAAAAAATCACAAGTGCCCAACAATATACAAACATACATTGGCAGTGTTTGAGTTTTGTCTTCTCTTCTTTCATCTTACTATCTATATGCAAGGACGACTACTATGGTTTCCATTTACACAATGGAGAGAGATATAACTATTTCAAGGTTTTTCACTATAAAATTGCACCTTCATATTACATGATAAAAAAAGACCCATGGATGTCTTTTGAGAGTATCACTATAAAAACCAACCTCATGAAACATCTATACCATATACTAACCTCAGTGTCAGTATCATAGTTGCATATATGATGATCATATAAATTACTGCAAGGTAATTTGGCACAGTACAGCAGGACATATATATGAAATGCCACCTGTGGCTAATATCTAACTGTAAGTTCTTTTTTTTTCACTTTTAATCAACAGAAAAAAAAAATCCTGGGCAGTGAGCAAGCAAATATACTCTATGACAGCAGACTGTCTTGTTATTCTAGCAATCAGGTACAGATGGCACTGAGAGAGACCATGGTTGATAATGCAATAAGGCTATCTGTCAGATCAGAAAACCCTCAGAATAAGATCCTCGCTGATGATAACACATTAGGAATGGCATTCATCCTGAGCACCTCACCAACATGCAAACCTGTCCTTTGTGGCCAGATTTACCCATCATTATACATGTGATTCTGCCTCATTATTTCTTTTTGTTATCATTTAAGTACTTAATTCTGATTTGTCAAATGATGATTCAAACCAACTTCACAAATTATGCATATCACACGCATACACTTATTGCATACATTTACAAAACCTGTGTACCCCTAACTATCCTAACCTTACAGCAAAAACCCATAAAACATACATGCAGGGTACCTACAGAACTGTTCTTGGAGATTTTATACTGATATTCAAATGAAAAAAGATGTTACTCTTAACAATCACTGTTCATTTCAACTACAGAACAGATTTTTTTTTAAATTTCAGATATCCAATGACTGAACTCCCTCAGACATATATTTCTTTAGAAGTTCTTTTAAATGTTTCCTTTTGTTTAATTTTCATTTAGGTGGGACAGAACTATATATTTGAAAGGCCTCTCAGTTACAGCTGCAGCATTGTGTTTTTGAGATGCCTTGCCAAGTTATCAATACATAATTGTAATATGCAAATTACATTAAACATCTGTAGTGTTAAGGAATGTGCTTCCCACCCAAAATGTCCTGAGACACTGAATATTAGATAGCTGATGTTGTATTACACTTTCGAACACTTCCAATTAAGAACATTCAATGAAGAGCCGACTCAACACTAACATTTTAGAATATCGGAGGCAAGACACAAGCCAATTTTCTTCTTCCTGGGCACTCTGCACAACTGCCGTTCATTTCAAGCCACCTTTGGTATATTCTATCACATGTTATCACTGAGATGCACTTGGTAAGTTTGGTTACCTCTCTTCAGTCAGAGGAAAATGTGATCGCATTATCAATGAGGGTGGGAACGGCTAGTAATCCTCCTTTATATTAATTATCTGAATGCTATTCCCACTAATGACATGTTCAACTGTTATGGTATATAGTAACCGTATAAAATGTGTGTTAAATAAGTTTTCATGTATCAACAACACTGTACATGAGATCTTTTAATAGTAAGTAATGAGTGAGCAGCAGACACCATGCTCACGACTAGGCAGTCTGATATTATAAAATTAGCGGCAAACAAACCTCATTTTGTGATGAGTAATGCGAGCAGCTCTTAGTTGCACCATTTTATACATGGTTTGTCAACCACCAATGTTGAACTACTTGCTTTTTTAAATCTACTGATACAAGAAAAAAAAGAAAAAAGAAAAATCTGCAAGACTTTTATCGGCTGTCTTGCATAGATTTACATGAGGTTGAACTGGTGACTCATCTGGCATGATAGAGTTTTGTCGACCGCTGAATGTGAAAGACTGGTGTGGGTTGGGCTTTAAACAGGCCCGATGATCACAACACAGGCGGACGGGAGTGGGAAGGCCAGCCCGGGGCTCGGTGACTTGTAAACAATACATTAAAAACCATCTAAAACAAAAGTTTTAAATCACCATCGATGTTACAGTAAATGTGCTTATTATCAAACTGAGCTGACCACTAGTCCAAACTCCACACATTCGCATTGGGCTTCTCAACAGTTAGTGTATCTTGAAGCTTGGTCTTACCACCTATGTCTCCACCTTTATAAAGTCACCGGTCTTACCACCGGCACTTCCACCTTTATAAAGTTATACTGGTCTCATTGCCGGACTTTTCAACCTTTGTATAGCCACCCCAACATTCCATGTGCAAATGATCAGATCACATCATTATAGTTAACTAAATATTGCCTCCAGCCTGCTTATCATACAGCCACTGACAACTATTATACGCTCATAACTTGTGTCTCCTTGGTATCCAGCTCAACTTGATTTTGAGCATGAGTATTTGATTTCATATCAGGCATGAATTTCAGTAATGGCACTCTTTTTCTTGTTGGGCAAATGAAAAACTATATCAAATCACTTCTAACAATTGCCTGAAAACTCAGTGAAGCTATAAAATGAAAATTATCCTCGAAAATCTACTTATGAAAAATTCTGAATATCTTGTAAAAAATTACTGTGAATAACACTCAACACTAAACAAGTAATAAGCTAATATAAGTAATACTAACCATCAAGAGTTAAAAAGGCCCCTAAGAAAGTCCGCCAGCCTGTTGGATGCTCTGCGTAGGCCGTCCAAGCATCCTTCCCCCTCCCGATTGCCCCTACGGTGAGAGCACCAAGCGGGACAACCACCATGGTTCATCAGTGTCACATCTTGAGCTGGAGGGCCACACAGAGCCAGTTCATTATGCCCTGAGGTGGTGACACACAAGAGAGATGCGCCGAGACCTGAGTTACCCACCGTGTCAAACCCCAGTGGTGGAGTGTTCGTATTGGTGGTAGTGGTGGTGATGGTGGCTGAAGCTCTGCCACTGCTGTTGATACTGCTGCTGCTACTGCTACTACTGCCTCTTGTGGCATAGTGGTGGAGGTGGAGGGGTGATGGGGACCTGGGGTTGGCATGATGAGGATGATGATATTGAAGATGATGATGGTGGTGGTGGTCGTTGTGAGGAAGAAGTTGATGGTTGTTCTGATGAATCATCAGCTGGCTGTTATGGTTGTAGTGGTTATAAGAAGGCTGGTGGTTCTGCTGCTGCTGGGTATGAGGATGGGGAGGCTCTGTGCCACCACATCCATACGTTTCGTTGCCCCTGTTTATAGCTGCTCCTCCACCCCCACCACTGAGACCTCCAGTGCCAAGAGTCCCACATCTCCCATCCCTAAAATTTAGCGAATGCTAGCACCGACGATTCCTCCAGTAGCTCATGTATTCCTACAAGAAAAATGATAAATTTATGTCAGTTCTATCTTGTTTATAACAATTAAACCAAAGCTGTCCCTTGCTAGAACCATCATCCATTCAGTCTTACTCCACTCATCAAGCAAAATTGCTTTTGTTTTTCATATCCTGTTCCAAAAGAAATAAAAGGGGCAGTAACAGAAGGACTATCTAACTGAATTATTTCATCCAACCATTTCTTGATATTCATATGATACATAATACATAAAAAACTAAATATCAAAGATTCCTGTTAATTAACCAAAACATGAGAAAAAGCATTCAGAAGAAGCATTCAGTTCATAACATTGTAGTAGGAAGTAATAGGATAGGATTACATTTTTTTCAGACACATACAAAGATTTTTCTCTCTTGTGATATTCCTATGACGAAAAATATAGGAAGTAAGCCCTGGGTTGTAGCAATAAAGCTAAATCCTCAGTTTAGGAGAGTTTTCTGTTGATTCTAATTCCTTCTAACTTTCTATAAATAAATCTGATAAGAAAAAAATAATTTCCAGGAAATACACTCAATGCCAAATGAACTGGAAAGAATAAAGGAGAGATTAGTGGCATGAGAACAACTGATACAAGTGCATTACAAAACCTGCCAGAAGCTTAAACATCAGTGGTATACAATCTTAATTCTAACTTCTAACCTACTGAGTGCAAGACAACTGATCAGTTCAGGATTTTTTAGCTATTTTATCATCATCTTTTATCATTTTTTTACAACCAAACAATGCTCAATTCAAACAAAATATTATGCATGATTGCACACTACCAGGTGGGGTCAGAAAGAGTAATAAGGAATTTCACAGGTTGTGCAGTTAATGCAATAAAGAATATCATGACCAATAAATTCCCATAATACACTTATAAGAACATATGTCTACATTGTACTGAGAACACTTAAGCTTTTAGAAAACTGTCCTAAACCAAAAGACATCTTCTGAAGTTCTCTGTTACAAAATACTGAACTACAATACCTTATGCACTTATTATGGTCAATGATGAGAAGTGCATTACAATCTGTGTAGAAGTCAGTGAGAAAAAACAATGACTGTCTGTTTAGTGTATTTGTATATGACCTTAAGAATTTCATAAAAATGCTAGTTAATCAACTGGGTGTTACTCAAGTGTGTAGGGTTTTACTGTATCCTGAAAAGCAGACCTAGATAGCACAGCATAAGATGACTTCTACCCTACTTTACGTAACTGATATGAATCGTTTACTAATGCCAAAATAAGTTGCTTAGGCTAGCGTAAGCTATTGTGCTAAACAAGTTCTAAAAAAGAGGTGCAAATTACATATTCATAATGAAAATTATGGTTTACCTAATACTGACCAAAATAAGTGCCTCTAGCAGTTTTAAGCTCACTTTGTTTATTAGCTATTTCATATTTTCCTAATAACAAGTTAATATATAAGATATAATATATACATCTGCAGATAATTCTACAATAGAAGTAAATCATCTCAACCAAACAACAACTCTCTTAACCCTGAACTGACAATGCCAGAAGTTTCTCTGTCACTCATTCCAGTAACTTCTGGCAACCATCTAGCTTTCTGCTGGAGGGTTCACTGTGCACAGTGGCCCTTCCCACTCGATTAACTACAGCCGTACCCGTCATGGTGAATAGGTTTTTCAAAACAGCTATAGGCATGCCCGGCTATAAGAAGTTAAAATATGACGAAACACAAATGTGAAAACAATCAGTAAATGATAAATATACATTTGACAATAACCAAATCTGAATTCCCTGTAGTGGATGCCTAGGCACCATCTCTACCTCACTTTTAGAACTGCTTTAATGTTTTCAAGATTATGCATTCCTTTTACACTTTATCATCTTTAATCATTCTGGCTTTTACATGACCATGTATATATCCTTATAATAAAAAAATATAGAATGAAAAAAAGAGCTAGAATACATCTTATTTAAGCCAGGTATACATATACATGTATAAACTCTAGTTCCTACTGGCCCTAATCCTGAATCCAAAAGGATTATTACATGCCAAAAAAATGTTTTAAAAATGCTAATAACGTGACAAAAGTCTAATTTCAGTATCTACTTTAACCCAATCACCACAGATTTAGATGCAGTCTACTGTAGTTTTTGTAAATTTTGTTACATACAGATGGCTTCACTTGTACTCAGCCACCAAGAAGTCAGTAGGTCCTAATGACCGCTTCTAATTTCCCCAATCCTTGAATTAGTGGGTAAATGTGTTTTTCTTTATAATACTATTGATATCAATACTGTTATTATTCTTATTGATATTATGATGATTAAATTGTTAATAAATTCTTGGTAACATTGAAGACAATGAAATAATACACAAGACACTTTCTAAAAATCAAGGAAAAGAGTAAACACAAGAGATAGGTAGGACTAATAACTGACTCCTTGGTGACTAAGGATTTGACGAGCCATCCATGTTAATACAATTAATGAGCTTATATTATAGTGGATATGGCATGTATTCCTGCCATTTGTGTTGATTGGGTTAAAAGATGAAATGACAAGGGCTGATGAGATTAAAACAAACAAGTTATCAAGACACTAAATATAATAAAGTATAGGAATCCACTTATTAATGCTAACCTAAAATAAGTGGCCTTGTCAGTACAATGGAAACTTCAACCGAGACAAAATCAGCAGAGGCTCAGATAAGTAAGCAAAGGGACAGTCATGTATAATCAAAAGTAATATACTTTAATAAGCTTTCTATAATCTAAAACTTGTATCAACATATTCTGCAACAAAAGTAGAATTATTACTGAATAGAGAAATGGTTGGACAAAATACAATGTAGCAATTCAAATACACAGACACAAAAAAACAATTCATTGTAAAATACTTTACAAAGACCTCTCTCTTCAGTCAGTGCCTTTGTATGTGTGTGTGTGTGTGTGTGTAAGTGCCTGTGTGTGTGTGTTAGTGCCTGTGTGTGTGTTTAAGTGCCTGTGTGTGTGTGTAAGTGCCTGTGTGTGTGTGTGTAAGTGCCTGTGTGTGTGTGTAAGTGCCTGTGTGTGTGTAAGTGCCTGTGTGTGTGTGTGTGTAAATGCCTGTGTGTGTGTGTGTGTGTGTGTGTGTGTGTAAGTGCCTGTGTGTAAGTGCCTGTGTGTGTGTATTTGCCCATGCCTGTGTGTGTGTAAGTTCCTGTGTGTGTAAGTGTGCAGATGAGTGCCTGTGGGTGAGTAAGCACGTTAGTGTATGTTTTCTGCATCTCTATTCATGTGTATGTCTTATAAATGCACTCCTTGAGCATAATATCCATTGTGTCCCTTTTGAGAGGCAGGATGATCAAGCAGTATCCTGAAGTACTGTATGTGCTGGGAAAAGCACAAACTCCAAAAACCTTTCCTTACAAATTACTTTTACTCTCAAAAAATAACCTTACCTGGAAAGTAACTGAGATCTTTTCACTCTGGTAACGTGTTAGTTTGATGCTACGTCGCACTTCCCCTGTTACAGGACCCTTATATCCTCCTTTCCTGAGTAATGAATCAATTGTCTGCTCATGATCCCAACCTAAAAGGATTGAGAAGTGTTAATGCCTTTTACATTTCTCCTAGAAATCAAAAGATTAATATAAAAAAAATCACAATCTGTCATTAATACACACAGATTAAAGGTGCTTTTCCAATATCAGTTTTGATGCCAATATGAAAATCTGGAACTAGTAAAATCAACTCTTACCCTGTTCAGGAGCGACCTCTGGCAGGTAAGTAGCTGTCCGCTTGGCACCTCGCTCATTCAAAAACTCTATCCGAATCCCATGCACCCCAATATCCCAATCCCTGTAATCCCGCCCATCTTCAAAGTGTCGCAAAATAGAGACAGAAACTCCAAGGCGAGGTAATTCATCTCTAGCAATTGGCTGAAACCGGGAATCCTTGAATGCACTGAAATAGAAAAATTAATTTTTATTACAAAGTTTATTTGCACCTTTAATTCTGCTAAAGAACACATCCTTATTATAAATATATATTTTGTATCGTATATACTAACCAATAATCAGTGTTGTAATTGAGGTTCTTTTCAATTCTTTCAGTGTTAAACTCATATTACTCTTAAAGCCTTCTATCCTAATGAAATTATTTGTAGATTGTGAAACTATAGGCTTATGTATAAGTCTTAAAAATACATAAAACAAAGAATCATCTAAAAAAAAGAAGCTGTCTTGAATTTTTAACATGCTTAGTTAACTATGAAATCAATCAAAAAAAGGCTAATATTTCATATATAAAAGGCATCAAGTATATTTGAATAAACATGCGAGTGGTAATACAATGTGAATATTCAATTTAATTTAGAGAATAAAATTTCATGATAAAAAAAATGAAGATAAATCAATATGAATGCTACCTGGTGGCTGCATATTCCCGGAGTCCTGCGTGTAGACTGATGTGGCTAAATGTCCCCATACATCCTCGTAACCGTTTGTCCTTCCCCAATTTCCAGGTTACAAACAAAGGACTGAAAGGTAATTATTGGTGAAAAATAATTCAAAAGGTTTAAAATAATGTCCTGAACTTACAGGAACACCTGACCAAGATGTTAAGAATTCTGACTTTCCAAACCACATCAAATGAATCTGATCAAACAAATCCAATACCAAATCAAATACAGATAGTCCCCTACTTAAGAACATTCTACTTATGAACATTCCATACATACAAACAAAGTTTTTTAAGTACTAAAGTCTAAATTACTAAATACTAAATTGTTTGAAAGATGCTAGCAAACTTCAAATTTCCCGGGCACGAATATAGTTCAAGAGTCTGGTACTGTATTTGGATTTATTTACAGGTATTCTTAATGTAAACAAAACTTTAAAACAATGGGAAAAAAGGAAATGGAGACCCGACTTTCGACATACAAACAAATCAACTTACAAACAGCCTCTCGGTCCCATTATGTTCTTAAGTTGGGGACTTACTATATATCTATGAGTTCGTCCTGCACTCTGGAGAAACAAACTCAGAATCCAAGGTAAGCACTATTTGAGTTAATAAATGTGTTGCTTTTTTGTATTAACTACATATGGGAATGAATACTTCCAAACAATGTAATCAGAATCATTAGTACCAAAACATGAAATTAACAACTATAAACTGGTATTTTTTTATGCTGTAGCAAGACATTACCCCTTAATCTGTACCAAAAGTAACAATAATGAAGCCTTTGTCATACAACCTTCTAAAAAAAAATATATATATATATATAAATATATATATATATATATATATATATATATATATATATATATATATATATATATATATATATATATATAATAATAATAATAATAATAATAATAATAATAATAATAATAATAAAAAGGTAAAAATAATAAAAAAATATATATGGGTATACAAAATATATATTTTTGTGCATTTCAAGATTTTATGAAAAAAAAAAAAATAATAATTATTATGTTGAGAATAAGGCTAGAGACTTTATGCCTTAACCACCCACATATTCTCTGCATTTAATCTATTAAAAATATTTAAATGAACTGTTAATCTAAGTCAATATACCCTAAAAATATCTTAAACTATATTATATAAACATTTACAAATTAGGAGGACAAGAAAGAACAAATCAAGACTTCTAAAACCCACTACCTGACCTAAATGATCATGAATACTGATCAGGACTGTTCATTTTATATATCCTTATACATAAATCAAGTGTAAATCTTAGAAAAAGAAAAATGAGAGCTAAGGGAAGTCCAAAACACAACCGTGAATATGAAGCAGCAGCAGCCCTTTATATTAAAATAAATAAAAAACAAAAAACAAAGAAATGCATACAGATAATGAAAATCATGCTACTTACTGTGTCATGATTCATAACAGTCAGCAATATGTGTATTTTTTTTTTTTTTTTTTTTTTTTTTTTTGTTAAGCTTCCTCTTTACAAATAAAAACTAAAGCTAAAATTACTTACAAAGGTTCATTAGTAAAGTCTGGAGTGCCAGGAGGTTCCATGTTGTGCAGGTGACTGTAAAGAACATCAAAGCAATAGAAGCACATCTCTGGGCTTGCTATGGGAGTGAGGCCGTTCCGTAAAGTGCCATTGGCTGTGGGAGTTGAGCCATTGTAGCAGCATACCTGCAAAAAGAACACAGGGAGGCATAAACTTTCTGAAACATCTTGCTTTAGTGCCCTAGTTATGGGTATGGAAAAAATGTGTAAAAGCATGTCTAATCAGTGATATATATAATATATGATATATCAACTGTTTTTCTGTGCTTGACAAATAAGAGAAAAAAGTAGGGAATATATAATGACTAATCATGATTATACTCTGCTGAGGTACTTAACCTTGCAAAATATCAATTTGGAATTCACAGATCCTTAAGAGTGTTGCTCACAGCAGAGAAGAGAATCTATCCATCAACACAATATAGAGAAAGGTTTGAAAGGATTACACAAATTATCAACTTTAGTCACTCATAAAACATGCTACTAAAAGAAATAATCAGTCAGTTAACATTACAAGGAGTAAATATTCCATTACTCCCTTATATCAAAAATCTATCAGGGGGAAAAAAAAAAACATTATTATATAAAATATCAATACCTTTACCCTGAACATAATCAAATCATATTTCTAAACAAAAGCCACTAAAGTGCTAATATAGCTAAGCAAAAGGGCAGTTATGAATATTAAATTCCAATAAGGCATCAGCTTGCAACTCCAACAAAAAGAGTCCTAAGTGCATCAGTACACAATGGATGGTACTGAAACGCTGCATTATGTCATTTACATAATGATTAGCTCATTCTGAAATGTTGATGAGGAAAAATCATTAGTTTATGCTATACTACACAAAAGCTATAAGAAACATGATTAAGGATTTTTTTGTGTGTGTATAAAAGCACACACAAACACACACACAAGCACATACACATACATACACATCATATACATAAAGCATTTTATGTACATAGTTTACACAGTATATATACACACACAGGACCGAATACTTTTATGATAACCACCTTCACATTGCCATTCACTGTTATATATTTCACAGACATCTTCAGTGATATAGAAACCAATGGCAAACCTTTGGTTTGTTTTTAAATCCTACCAAAATCTAAAAATAAAAAGTATTACACCTCAACTGAAAATGACATTCAATACAATCCTGCATTTATCTATAATGTGAGACAATATATCATGATGACCCATTTTATACAAACATGCATAAATAAATAGATGCAAAATTAGTGCCTATGAGTACTGAGGGGCCAAAATGAACCAGAAAGAGTGTATACCAGCCAGAACTTTAGGGAACTTATAAGGGAATTTAAATTTTAGGAGAGTATAATCTCACTAATCAATCTGGATATCATTTTCTTTTGCATATAAAATATGCCATTGTAAATTATAAAAATATATTTCAAGAGCATGTAAGGAATAGCACATGGCAAATGATGAAGTATAAAAACAACGTAAATAATATAGTAGGCACAGTACCATGAAATATTGCAAATATATATACGCACACACAAAAGAGAGAGTGTGTTTAGAATAATATACACTTCCTTCTACAATTTCTTGATAAGGTAATAACACAAACATTCACTCAAGCTTCTTTATGTATATACAGTCTCATGCATGAACGGCTGAATGTATGCACAGAAATACTGCTATACTGAGTACATATGTAATATTAAAACATATATGTAGTGTTATTAAATTCTATAAAATTTTTGTTTGTCATCTGAGCATGACTACTAGTGACAGCTGTGATATATAGCATGACAAACATATTACATATATACTGAAAACATATCACACTATTCAAAAGTAGAAAATCAATGTGTATATGACTCAGCAATTATCTTAACGCCACAAAGCAGCATCAAAATCATAGTCAAATTATGAACTAAATTCTTAATAACCCTAACTACTAATACTCACCATTAAAAGTATTTGCCAAATCATATACAACATTCCATAAAAAGAATATAAATATTATACACTGAAATCAAGCAATGCTCTGCTGAATTCTTTTTTTGCACTAGGTTAATATTAAGTGCGATACAAAGACCATGTTTTTCTTAGGTTATACTACTACATCTAAGTATTTGCCTAACCAGGTCCATTATAACCCCAATGTTACATTTGACATGCTGGAAAAAAAAAAAAATAATAATAATAATGAAGCAGAGTATTTCCTTTAACTCTGAAAGTCTCTGGAAGAAAGGTATAGTTTATCTTAAATGAAAGGTTAGCTCTGCTTTTGTACAGCAAGCAGAGGAGTTGAAACATACGGCTAATTTATATTTTGCATGTGGAGGCGTTCCATTGTATAGTGTGACCTGATATGTATAGATGTCACTAATATTTTGAAAGCTTAACCCATTCACCACGAATGGCAAGAATACATGCCATGCCCAATGTAATACAAGTTTATTTACTGTATTTATACATGATAGCCCTTATTCATTATCCAAGGAGTCAGTTATCATTTTTGGAGAGGGTCCTTTGCATTATTTCTTTGTCTTAAATGTTATCAAAATTTTCACAATTTAATAATCATAACATCAATAACAATAATAACAGTATCGATGTCAACTGTATTAAAAAAGAAAAACACATTTTCCCGCCAATTCAAGCAATGGGCAAATCAAGATCAGTCACTCGGGCTACTGATAGACTCCTTGCTGGCTGAGCACATGTGGGGCCATCTGTATGTAACAACATTCGCAAAAAACTACAGGGGACAGAACATAAATCCGGGGCGATTAGGTTAAGTAAAAGGTAGTTAAAAAAAAACATATGAACAGGGTTTGATAAATGTGTTCGTATTAAATTCAAAATCCTTATGGATAACTAGCAACAAAAACTTTTAGTTTCTTTTCTATGACAAAGCAAATTCTTTCCATTAACACACAGACAGGCAAACTACTTCATGCTTACAAACTGAAATAAGCCTTTACTGAGCATGATTTTTACAAATCACCCAAACAGCACTTCTTAAAGAGATACCAGTATTCAAAGATGTTCCTAAACTTTTGTTGGAATCAACCAATATGTATGAATAGCAAAACACTCTCACATGTTAACAATATGACAAAAAAAAAAAAAAAAAAAATTTCATCTGTATACAGTATCTTTATGTTGTCAGCGTGTATATCTGCATGATAAAAAGAAACATTGTACTGTATGTTCACACTTCTACAAGTTCTTTCTCTTTCAAGAATCATGTCCACATTTGTCAGAGACAAAAAAAGCAAATCTCTGGAAACGTCTGCCCGTTTGTGTGTGTGTATGTGTGTGTGTGTATATATATATATATGTATATATATATATATATATATATATATATATATATATATATATATATATATATATATATATATATATATATATATATATATATATATATTTATATATATATATATATATATATATATATATATATATATATATATATATATATATATATATATTTATATATATATATATATATATATATATATATATATATATATATATATATATATATATATATATACATATTTATATATATATTTATATAGATATATATATATATATATATATATATATATATATATATATATATATATATATATATATATATATAAATATATATATATATATATAAATATATATATATATATATATATATATATATATATATATATATATATATATAAATATATAAATATATATATATATATATATATATATATATATATATATAAATATATATAAATATATATATATATATATATATATATATATATATATATATATATATATATATATATATATATATATATATATATATATGTATATATATATATAAATAAATATATATATATATATATATATATATATATATATATATATATATATATATATATATATATATATATATATATACAAATATATGAATATATGAATATATGAATATATGAATATATGAATATATGAATATATGAATATATGAATATATGAATATATGAATATATGAATATATATATATATATATATATATATATATATATATATATATATATATATATATATATATATATACATATATATAACTACATATAGATTTATATATATATATATATATATATATATATATATATATATATATATATATATATATATATATATATATATATATATATATATACATATATATATATATATATATACAAATATAAATATATCTATATAGGTATATAAATATATACCTATACAAATATATGAATATACAACCTATGTATTTACACACATATATACCTATACAAATATATGAATATACAACTTATGTATTTACACACATATACACATATACATGCATGCGTGTGTGTGTGTGTATCATCTAACACCGACTGGGGAGATGGATGTATCCACCCTTCGTTCCAGCCACGAAGGTCCATCATTGTGCGTCACCAGGCAGGCCTCGGCCTATCTTTAACTCCTCGCGACAGGTCTGGTTGAGCTGCCCAAGTCATGACCCCCTAGGTCATCCCACAGGCCTCCTCCACCCAGGATTGTCTCATAAACAGACAACCTGATGGGCAGGGTCATCCATAGGGAAACAAGATAGGTGCCCTTATAGCCTGAGTTACCAATCCTGGATTATGCAAGTAATAGGCCACCACCATTGTTTCCAGAAACTCAGATAGGATAGCAACATCGTTGGCAAAGTCACAGTCTGAGACCTTGATACTGTGCAGTGTTGCTCCACACTGACTTTGGATAGTAGCTCTGCCCATTATCTAGGCCATGCAGGTGCTAAAAAGTGTTGGTGCAAGGACACAGCCTTGCCTCACCCCTGAATTAACAGGGAAGAAATTGAAGGGGCCCTCACCACACTTTACAGCACTTTCAGTACCAATTAATAGGCTTGCTATGAGGCCAATAATCCATGTCGGAATCCCCCTATGTCTCAGAATCTCCCATAGCAATTCTCAGTGCACTGAGTCAAACACCTTCTTG